GGAAACTGGATCGATGGGATTTCGTATTGTAAATTTGAACGAAACAAAGCACACACGAAGACTCGAGCGATATCGAATTGAGATGGTTGTATATACGACCGCACCGAGAAGTAAAAGAGAAGGTATTTTCCCCCAATAGAAAAAAGGAATTAGAGTAGAGAGAAAAAAGCGAAAGGACTCGACGCAATAGACAAGTGCGGAAGGTATGGAGAATTAAGGTAAGGTTAAAAAAAAAGGTAAGGTAGGTGTCGGTCGAAGGAAGGGAAGGGTAAGAAAGGTTTCGAGGCGCGGGAAGAAGAGGGGCACACTGGGGCCTACCTCCCATGTTAATACTACCTACTACGTACAATACAGCGTAGAGCGTAGCGGCTTCCTTCAGGGTCAGGTCACAGAGGACGGGGCCAGGACGGGGCAGGACAGGGTGAGAAGGCTGTTTCCAGAAGCACAGACTTGCGTGCCCTGCGATCCCTTAACGATCCCTGCCGTACTTGGTAAATGGATAGATGCACCAAGTGTAAGTACTTACCCTATTGGGCACCTCTTGAATCGTTAGCGTGCTTTGGCATGCTGCTACAGATGCTGCTATCTACATACAAGACGACGCTACGAGATGCCACAGAAGCCACTGATGCCACAGGTACAGCACGAGCTCAGACGCGGCTTACACACTAGTGTACCAGATAGACACTAGAGATTCAAAATCCCTCCGAATACTATAGAGGTACCATTTATGAAAGGGGAGGGCGGAATAAGGAATGACACAGCTACGTGTGAGAGAAGTGTGGGTTCCCCAAGTACTTGCGACTAGTAAAAGTTTGGGGACTCGACCCCTGTTGCGATGAAGAAAGAAGGACGAAATAAAAATTACTATGTATATTTTAGAATTTACTATGTAGGTAGGTAGGTGGTTTTAAAAAAGTAAAAATACTTTTAGTATAGTGCCATTGGCCCCCGATTATCCCGTCAAAGCTTTTACTTGGGATCCCCAAGTTAAGACGGGAATGATCCATTACGAAATCCAACACGCATAAGAACTGACGAAGGCGCCGCGTCTTTGGGCTGTCCTATGCAACTCACAGTTTTCCTTTTTAAAAATAAAAGTCCTGCTAATTCGGTCAAGATAGACAGGACATACAAGAAACCAACCGTCACAATCCAGGTCGTCAGGTCGTATGGTGAAACCCAACCAAGTGAGAAAGATTCGAATGGTTTTTTCTTCTTCTCTTCTTGGAACCCACACAAGCTTCTTTCGCCACGCATCTACTTGCAGTAATATCTAACTTACAAAAGCTCCTCTCCGCAGTTTCTAGGCGGCAGCAATCGGTGGGTACCTACCATATTACCTCGTGTGAACGGTGAAGGGAAACAGAAGCCTTTGTGGAACTGTTTCCTTTCTGGATGGGTTTGTCGGGAATCTGGTGGAGGATGAGATTTTAGTAACTGACCAGCCAAGGAATGGGGCCCCCGTTGCGCTGCCTCCGTAGGTTGTTTTACATTGATGCTTAGCCAGCCCGCCCTAAGCCGTCTACGTCCATGATTGGATCCTACCTTACGTGACTACAGTTATAGCGAGATTCGGAAATTCCAGAGATTCATCAGCAACCTTCCCCGAGAAGAAAGAAGCTGGAGAGAATTTCATTCGGCCCTGTAGATTTACAGATTTACACAGACTATTGAAATGTGAGATGCTGGATCGATGCTCGGCTCGGACGATTCCTTATTGTCATTCGTCCAATCGCGTAGTACAGGTCGCCGAAGTTGCTGTTAGTGTAGGATAATTATCAATCACTGATGTGACTGTGGGCATCGAATCCCTCCATCCGTTGGTCCATTTAGTAGCTCGTTCGTCCAAAAGTGACCAAGAAAGTTGCCGCATGGTCCACCCATCGCACACGAGTGCAACCTCGATTCTCAGGTGAATTCAGGTGAAGCTACGGATGGTACTTGTATTATACATATCAGGCATGTGTTGGTTTTAGCGTCAGTGCCTTGCGAAATATCAGGGGAAATACCTTCGTAGATCAGATGAAGATTGCATGTGCCTAGGTTCCTAGGTTCCAACGATTTTTAACTTTAGCCCGAAGAGGACACCGTCCGTTTGGAAGCTTTTCCTCCTGCCTTAGCGCTGCCACCTGCATATGTACAATATAATACAACACATACCGATCCAAGTTCCTCTTGAAAGAAAAAAATTTACATAGTAGAGAATAGAGAATTTCCATAACGAGTCACTTTGTTAATTACCATGTACTTTTACCGTATCTACCAAGAAAATATAGCATAAGTCGCGATAATAATATTCAAGTTATTATCATGTACTATTTGTTTGAACTACACCATGTGTTTCAGCCGTAAGTCTCCAAAAGTCGGAAGAATAAAGGAATAGAATTGCGGGATTGCGGGCTGGAGTTACCGCGTCGAGGCGTGCAGGGCGTGCAGGGCTTGTCAAGCTTTTCGAATATGTGGTGGCCCGTGAGCCTGAGCATATCCAAACCCGTCTCTAGCTTCGCGGCCAGGATAACGGATCGCCGCCATGGGTTTCAAATGCAGCAGAGCTCTCGTATCGACAAGCGTAGATCCCCGTACACGTAGGAGGGGCGAGGGGTTTGGCTGTCTGATGTCCCCCTGTCGATCCGCCCTGTGAATCGGTGATGTGTGCACAAGACAGTGGAATACATAGTAGATACGTAGTAGGGCGGATGTTCCCCTGTCCGCGAACGGTCCAGTTATGACTTAATTATCGAGCATCGCCATTAGCATCACCGTCAGCCCAGCCTACGGATGACGACATGAAAATTAGGAGAAGCAGACGTGTGTTGCTGCTCTCGTACGCATCGTGTCAGGTGAGAATTCTACGAAGCAATGAAATGCCGACGTCCGGAACAAAAATCGGGCTTCAGGTGTGTAAGCGCCTTACCAGTTGAAACGCGAACCCTTGGCTCGTGTCCAATCCATATTAGGAACCCTTGTGCGGTGACGAACGACAGGGGAGATCTGCTAAATATTCTCTTATTAATTGTCCTTTTCCGTGCCGTTCAAGTCGCATTACGAGTGTCTCTGTCTCAGATTTTTCGACTCATCAGCTGAGATCTTATCATAGAGTTACTATTGGACCACAAGGAACAATACAGTGTCATCTAGATATGAACTATGAAGTGAAGGGCCTTAATATTACTGCAAATTCCTCCGTTCATTAATGCGCGTCGGCCAGATCTCTCCAGATCGCTGAACCTAGAGAGGGCAGAGAGATCCGTGGGGGTGTCAGTGGCATCCCACAAACATACATCGTCTTGCTTTGCGATCATTAATAGCTGTATAGATTAAAGGACAACGAACCAAGTCCGATAAACCGTTAACCCGTTAATTTAATAGAATTTATAACTTATAGCAGTGCAGTGTTAGTATAATGCATTTAAGGGTTACATAATAACATGGTTCTATACATAGGTAGTTTACCGCGCGGCAATGAGGAGCGATTCCTGGGATATTAACCACCAACATGTTCCATACACTTTTCTTATTATATAAACAGGCTGCAGATTCATGTTACCAATTCAAAATAATCACGTTCTTACGTCTACCGGCGCTACATCTAACCGAGCATCGCCATCACATGGAAACCTGTCAACTACTACGTAGGGGAAGATAACCTGCACCGCCGCGGGGAATGTGTGACCGCGCTTACGAGCTGGAAGCGAGGAAATAGGCGCTGCCAACCCGCAAACAAAGCTCAGCGTCGCATGATGTCGTCTGTTAAATTAATAAACTGATATGAAAAGAATAGCGAGCGGTTCCACTCGAGGTTCTTTCCATCCTTCCTTCTAGAAAACTACTGGTGGACTGCAGATATAAGACCGAAGCAAGGGCAGCTTTCAGCTGAAGACACTATAGACTAGGCGAGCGCAACTGTATTCTCCCAGCTGTACTGTAGGTGTGCGGCGTTCTCCTACAACAACACCATGGTAACCTTCGAGGCGGCCTGGCGGCCTCTGCAGCCGGCGGCCAAGATAAAAGTTTTCATTTTCCGTCCGAGTCTTACGAAGTGCCGAAGGCTGAGACAGACCGCAAATCCTGCTGATGTCATCTGGGAGAACGGGGTAGTGTTTGAGCTAGAGCACGGCAGCGCCACGAGGCCGCAGCGTAATATCTTTGTTTATGCCGCAGCGGATAAGATTAGGGTTGAATCTCGAATGTGTCACATACTAATAACCCGGGCTTACTATGGTAGGTGTCGTTCAAGGCTAAGTTTTCCGTCGATCACGCTCCGTCATCTACATCTAAGCATGTGTCAATAATCTACCTAAGCGGCACTTAACAGCAACATCACATATCTAAGTTTTACAAACATTGAAGCTGCCAAGGTGTCTGAAGACTACTAGGAATACACGAGTGGGCAAATTAATAGATATGGGCACAGACGAAATTTCAGCACGGGAACAAGGACTAGATCTCATATAACATGCAAGTTCAAGCATTTATTATACTAAGGTTTGATTGTAAAGAAATCGTCTAATCTATTCATCTATTTCCAACACAGATGATTCTTAAACTCAGGGAATCGCCTATTCTAATACCCCAAGTGAGATAACCGCCCTATATATCAGGAAGTAAGGGGTGTTGGCGAATGCGAGCAGATGCAATCGTAGACTAAATAGGAAAGTATAAACGATAACAATCCTGTCGCGATAGACGAGTACCAATATACGGGCGATGATATACTGCATAGCACTATCGTCAATACCTAATTTATTGGTATTAGTATTCTCTACGGTAACTAGGTAGTCTGTAGGACCGGGTAACATATACCTAGATAGAAGCTCACCATATATGAAAAGGGGGAGAGAGAAAATAACTACCTCTATAGATCAACTTACTTCATACCAGCTGCTCAACTTCGAGAAAGCCAGGATAACACTACCAAGGCATCGAGATTGCTACTAGCATAACTGACATAACAATTCTCCAAGCCCCCTTATTCTAAGCATCCGAAGTAAAAATCATGGACTAGGTGGGATTTGAACCCATGACCTTTCCATCACCAACCGACACGCCTAAGCTTACGTTTATGCCATTGTTTGCTCAGAAGTACGTAGATAATGATGGAATGTGCTTACCACTACACTATTAAGTCATTCTCTTCCTAGTCGGAACTCTCTATGGTGAGTGGATGATGCCGTAGTTTTAATGATAAGGATGTATATAGTGCGCGCTGGCCATGTTTGGTCATTGCTTCGGATGACTACTTACTTTGCCTTATAAGTTATCTAGCGGTGTAAATACAAACAGTAAATTTCTATCACACGGCAACAAGTTTGTCATAAGAGCCATTGCCGTTGCAGTACTGGTCCTGCAGTACTGGCTGATATCTAATACTAGTTCTCATCATCCAGGAGGTATTGAGGCAAACTTTCAATATCAATAGCTAAGCACGCAAGCTAACAGGTAGTTAGTTGGTGGTATCATTGATTTCTATGCACTCTTGTCTTCTACACCTACTAGGTACACTTAACCCAACCCGCGTCTCCTCTCTCCTCTCTCCTCTGTGCTCGCCATAAACCACGAGCCAGAACCTCCGGCGACGACGATGATGATGATGCTATGCCAGGACCAATCCAATATCAACAACCTGGAACCCGAACCCATGCCATATATAGTATGCAGTATGTAGAACTCCGCCGCCAATGACCAAAGCTATAATCCAACCATGCTTATGCGCATTTGTTTCCCTTTCTTTTTTGAATCGGTTGCCCGTATCCTGTTATCCTATGCCTCCAAGTCTTCGTCGCCCTGGAATCTAAAGCAGTCGAAGCCGCTCACGTATGTAGACAGTATATACCGTACGCCGCGCCGCACCTCCTCCTCCGCCTCTCCACTTCCGTGCCGTTCGCCAGCGTCTCCGGGCATGAAGGGTTGCGAGGTATCCAGCTCGCTCTACGGCTCTCCCTTCGCACCCTCCTGCCTCGGCACTCCGACCCCCATCCCGATGCCCTTCCGCCTGCCCCTCACCACCGCGAGCAGCGCCCTGCCCACCGCCTCCAAGTCGCCTAGCATGGTGATGTGCCCGCGGTCCGTGCTAATGCGGCCGTCCTTCACGAGCTCGTACCCGCGGGGCAGCATCGCCTCGCGAGCCAAGACCACGCCGTCGCCGCTGCGGAACACGAGGTCCTCGTACGCGTCCGAGCACGAGATCTGCTCGCGCGAGCTCACGTGCGCGCCCCAGACGGTCGGCACGTCTTTGCCGTAGATGACCGCGAGCGGCGGGTACGCGTTGGACCGGGTGTGCTCCGGACGGTGCTGCGTCTCCGCCCTGAATGTCTTGATCTCGGCCAGCGTCCGCTTGAGGTAGGCGAAATTGCGGCTTCGGGCCCCGGCGTCATTGTCTAGATGCTGCTGAAGCTGGGCGGCCGTGTTCGAGTCACCCTGCATTGTGCCCATTTGCGGAGCCAAGGTCCGGTCGTTGGAGACTTCGGCTTTTCGAACCGCGTCGGCAACGATGTTCCGAGTTGGTGAGCGGGACTCGCTCGCTGCGCTATTACCCCGGCTTCTTAGCGGCGTGGGTAACCTATCGGAAAGCTCTCGCAGCGAACTGAACGCGCCCGAGCGGGTCTTGAAGGCGGGCAGCGCCGTCTCGATACACGGACTCCAACAGTATTTCACCCACTCCTGCGGGTCATAGAAGTCGACAGGATATTCCTCTCCCGTGTTCTTGTTTATAAAGCAGAAGCCATCTTCCGGAAGGAACACGAAGGTGGTCCTTAGCGAGAAGTTGACCTGCGCTGTTAGGACCTTCTCGTTGAGGAGTACAGCATCACCGTTTCGGATTGGACCAAGTATGTTTATGCATCGTTGTGGTGTCCCCGCAAATATCACACCCGAGAACAATTCCGGTCGCTGGTTCACCGCGTGTCGTGTAATGAGACCTCCGAGACTATGGGCGATAACCATCGCTCCTCTGCCTTCAGGTGGGCCTTGTCCTTGAGTCGAGGGCAGCTGTTCGAGAAAGGCGATAAGTTTGCGTGAAAGTATGTGAGGGCTCAGCCGCCAATCGTAGCCGTAGTCCCACACTCTTAGCTTTCCCGTCCTAGCATTTTCACACTCCCTTAGTCTTTTGAATAAGCGTTTCGAGATATCAACCGGCCCTATGTTTTTGAGCATCCCCGAAGCATAAATGGACTCTTCCATCCTCTCCTCGTCCTCGGGGTCCAGACCGACCTCTAAATTAACTTTTCGTATGTTTAAGCCAACTTTCACCGGCACCCAGACTTGGCGGTTGGTTCTCGTGGATCTTAGTACGGAGCCACGATACCCACCCATGATAACGATATCACCCGTTAGTAATTCTAGGGCGCGGTCCAAATCTGACAAGTTGTCATCTCTCGTTGATGGACCAGCTTCGAAGAAAGTCGAGGCACGCGCAGTTCCCGGGAGAGACGAGTCCGACTGTTCGAACCCCAACATCGAGTTTCTCTTGAGCGGAGCGGGAATAATATTTGGCAGCTGAGGAAGTTTGAACGTTGGCCTATCCCAGCTGTCTGTGATCGCCTTGAGCCTACTGTTCTTCTGCTCTCGGATGCCATCCCACCTATCATCGTCACCAAAAGAAGACACCCTAGATAGTGAATGATAAAGCATAGACTCGTCCGAGGTCGTCCTTCGCATGGGCCGGGGCCGGCTTGGTGGCGCAGAAAGCGTAGACCCCTCAGTAGTGCGAATGGGGAGAGTCACAAGCGATTGCCGACTTGTCGATTGGAACATGCTCCTGGTACTTAAGGCTGGGGATTCACCGAAGGCTGGAAATTGCTTTGATTCAGCTGCACCGTCGTTTGAGAGGGCAGATCGCCTTGCATCTGGACCAGTGCTTTTTGCTGATAAAGGCCCCGAGAAGAATGACTGGAGAGAGATAGATGGCATGGAAGGCATGGAAGGCATGGATGGCATAGAGGGCATAGAGGGCAAGGCTTCCCGTATCCTCTTCATTGCATCCGCGCCACCGGATGAAGAACGACGATGTCTGTTCTGGCCGAACACACCCGATAGCGCAGGCTTTGAAGTAGACTCGCCGGCTTGCACCACCATCTGTTTCGGACCCGATTGCCATGGAGACGGAAATCTGTGCGTCGGTGTTTGATTCGGAGACAACTGACTCAAGGAAAAGCCCCTGTTGTGGCGAGTTGGGGCCTTGGCCGTAGGAACGCTCGACTGGGCTATTCCCGGTGATAGTCTTTCCGGTTCTGGGGTCACCGTGCCCTCGCTGACACTAAACAAACCTCCGCCTGGTAGACGTTCCAAAGCTGCCCTTTTCTCCGCGGCAGGTGTCTTTGGTAGTGTAAGCCTCGTGGCCACTGGACTCAGGGCCGGTTGTATGATGGATTGGGCATCGTCCAGGTCGATATACAACTGTTCCTCCTCCGGTGCACTATCAGACGTTGGCGAGGCCTCTGCATCCGAAACCACCAGGCTGGGCGGCTCTTGTACAGCATGCAAAGGCGACGCCAAGGGTTGGCGTGTAGATGTAGTCGACATTTTGCCCAATCAAGTCAATGTCATTGACCTTTATATGTGACGAATATGCTTGAACCGTCCGTCTGGGCACAAAGAATAAAATCTTGGAAGGTGTGCATTTGGTAAAGAATTATCCACGCGATAGATCAGGTAAGTAACATACCTAACCCGGATGTACCGGGGAGGCAATTAATTATTAACGCGTTCGAACCGAAGGGAAATTATTACAACATCCTATGCGAGCTCGTGACTCGTGACTTGTGACTCGGGCACGGAACCACGGAGAAGTGGTCGACGCTAAAAGATCTAAAAGACGGAGTAGGACGCTATCAAACCGTTGGTCTTGTTGAATGGCGTCAATGGATAAGGTGCCGTACCGAGGTTGACCAGTTGGCTTCTGACTTTTTTTTTTGATCTTTTGTCTAACAGATATGTATCTTATGATTGGAAGAATTCGAATTGGTTTGTTATCAAATACCATTAGGCAACATAATAAGCTTGGAATTGGACCGTTTCTACGGTAGCGAAGAAGAAAAAATATGAATGATTTGATAAGAATCTGGGGGTCCACGAGTCTGGGCCCAACTAAACGTTACTTGCCACTAATAATAACTTACCCATCCTAAGCCTTACCGAACTAATACCAGGGGACTCTTTAAAGTCAGTCTAGTACAGCGCAGCCACGTACTACATCATTAAACTTCTTTATGACACGTACTTGCTCTTCTATCGTAAACTAAGGTTGACTGTTTCCGCTTGTACCAACCCCTCCTCTATCCAGGTTCTCCTGTCAATGCCTAAGGTAAGCGTACTCAGTTACCTACCTAGCCTACAAACAATTCCAGGTACGGATGGATAAGCGCAGGCTCATCGTGCTCAATGGAGTGTTGAAAATGCAACCGCCGGTTCGGGGCGGTGTAAGATTGGCAAGCGGCAGGCCGTTAGACATATTTGTGACGTCATCAAACCCAATCCAATTTGCGACAGCCGTTGAATAGGTGTATTAAACTTTACCGTATACATTACTTCTTGTTGGTTTATATCTATCACATTATGCAATTCTGAAGGCTGTAGACAGCAAATGCGGAGAAGTGATCGAAATATAACACCATATCTATCAAATTCAGCCCCCGGCCATAGCCATTGGGGTGGGTTGGCTTATTTCCTGTAATAGGTATTGGCTGTTTCAACGTATGCTGACGAAATCTATCCCTTATCAGGTTGCTAGTTGTTAAGCTGACCGCTACTGCAAGCTACATCTTTTCAGCTTCCGCCCCAATCTATGTGATCCGCTTCATTGCTACCTACCTAGATAGGTAATCCACAGCCTGGCTGTGTTCAAAATCCGCGTAATCCAATACTATATTACATACATGAGTTGTTTGAATGGCAAGGCCCCCAAATCTCTACTACGCCCCGAACATGATGCCCAGGCTCGCATCTATCTCCTTGACCTTCTCAATAGATTTCTTGTAACCGGGATGTGACTCGAGCCTATCAATGTATGCAAACACCTTGGGGAACAGAGCCTTGGGGCCGTCGCCTTCCCACGTCCCAAAGGTCTCGAACTTATCCTTGGCCGCAATCAGCGCGAAGCTGAGCAACACGTCCGCGGCAGTAAGTTCTGGG